AACTTAATATTCAATTCTAGAGGATTGCTAAAAATGGAAAAAAACATGTTACGTGATCTTCTATATATAGACTATCACATATCTCACAAGTAAGCCTTTTTAAGTAAGGACTATTGTTTTACAATAAATGAAATTTTTATTATTTTAGTCTCCTATATTCTATAATTTTTCTCCGCTCAGAGCTGCTGACTAAGCAGGAGGTGGGCTCACTATGCCAAACTAGGAGATCTTGGCTTTCTAGATCTGCAATCTGTTTATTTTTAGCTATTTTTTCTAGCTAGATATAAAAGTTTTAAGATAACAGCTTTTTAAGTGACGTTTTTTTCGTGTCACCCCTCTGTATTTTAGCTTTTAGTAAACACTAAATATAATCATAAGAATTAAAGTATTTTAGATGAAGCTAAGAATAGGGTTAGTATAGAAGAGCTACTACTCTTACTATAGAAGCGTAGAAGACTAGCTTCGTACTATAACAATAAGTTATAACAAATATTATCTTATTTATTTTTAATGCCTATATTATTCTATAACGCGCCCTCCTTATCTATAATAACTAAATATAATTAATAAATTACTTATCGTTATATAATTTTTTTTATATAAGTACTCTGTACTTAGTATAAGTACTCTATACCTAAGTACACCTATAAATAGTATAACCTAACTTTATCTCTACCTAATATCTGTATAACTTAACTTTAGCTCTACTTACGCTATAGTCTACATAACTCTACTTTTACCTATAGTCTATATAACCTAACTCTACCTCTACCCTAGGTCTATACGACCTAACTCTATCTCTACCTAACGTCTGTGCGACCCTACCCTACTCTATACCCATCCCGGGAACCCCATACCCATTCGCTAGTCTATGCTTAATTAAGATTCTTCTATAGTACTTTAAAAATACCTTATATATAAGCTACTTTTATAAATAAGAAAAATATATAATACTACTCTTAAGAACGTATACTAGTTAAGATAGAAAAGACTTAAGTAGTATTTTACTTATAAACATTAAATACTTAAAGATTAAAAAAATGTTATTTAGTTAGATAAGACTTTTATTATTTTTAATTACTATTATAGTAGCTATTGTAACGTGTTTCACTAGTAAGCAGGCCACCCTAGTATATAGGCCACCTCCCTAAACTATTACATCTTTGTAATAGTATTACGCAACACCACTACAATATTTTTTATTAAGTAGAATAAGTTATTATTCTTTAGACGTATTGCTATCTTTTATATCCTCTAATTTTACTTAATAAGTGCAAAAGTTATATCTAATTTAGCTACAACGCCTGCAGCGCTATTTACTACACACCCTCTTTGCAGACGTTGTACTATTATTATAGCTACTACCCTTTGCCTTAGCAATCTAATTAGCTATTTAGCTAACTATCTAGGACCTCTCTACCTGTACGTAGCGCCTCTTATAAGTTTTTTGCTTTGTTACTTTAGTAATTATAGCTTTAAGGCGATTAAGTTTCTCCTATATTAACACTATATTATAAGCTATCTACTAAGCTCTCTCACTTAACTACTATATTTACTCTTTAAGAGAACTTATAGGAGACCTTTACTAGATTTGCATATAGTTTTAAATAAGCGTAGCTTATGCCTCTATTTCGCGCGCGTTACGCAGCGTTTTTAGCTCCTAAGTAGTAGTCTCTTACGCTAGTAGAGTTAGCGTACGTAGTATAACATTAAGCTATAATAAAATAACGTTATAATTATGTAGTAAATATCTAGCACCTTAAAACCCTTTATAGATATTTTCTAGTGTAATAGCCTTATAATAAGCCTTTTTAAACACTAGTAGGAAGGTTTCTTTACTAATATAGTAGATGCAATTACGTGCTAAAACTAAGACAGCATTACTATACGCGCGCTTTAATAGCGAGAAGCAGCCTATATTAAGAGGCTATAAGAGGTGCGATAAGTAGGGAGGCATATAGAGGAGGATTATCTTTATCTCTTTGCAGAGATCTTAGAAATTAACTAAGTAGTAGCTCTTATAGCTATTAATAATAAGCAGCTAATGCGTCCCTATAGGCCGCCCATAGGAATTAAAGTAACAAAGCTAGTTAAGCGCTAGATTGTTGTTTGTCTAGCTAGTAGGACTAACTTAGATTACTTAGTTGCGTGGTAGATCCTCTGTAAACTAAGTAGAGATTAGAACCTTGCTAGCAAAGATAAGAAACGCTAGAATATATATACCTATTATGCTAACGCCTTATATCAGCGTAACCTACTTATAATTACCTAGCTAGATCTTCTTTATTCTCCCTAGTTTGTCTAAGCCTATAATAACTAACTATAATAAAATCTTACCTATAATAAAGCTAGTCTTATTAAAGTTATAAATATCTTTATCTCTAATACTATACTTTGCCTTTATATTCTAAACTAGCTTAAACTAGCCCTGAATAAGCGTTAGGTCTTTGTAGAGAGCTTACTAGTGATTATATAGACAGCTCTAGCGCGTACGCAGCTTAGGATTGCGCTAGACAAACCTATCAACCTAGTTCTTGCCCACCTCCTTCCTACCACGCTCTTAGAGCAGTCTATTGGCCATATCTCGCACGTCGTCTTTCCTACAAGGTAGTCCTCGCTTAGCCTTAACTATTACACGCATAGTAATAGCCTCCTCTTCTAGTTTTATTAGGCGCCTGACTAGTAGCTCCTAATTGCTTTAAGGGCGCTATCTAGCTTATTAACGCTAGATTGTTGCTTATAGGACGCTATAGGTGGTAGTAGCACATTATTTACTTTAAGTTTATTTAGAATTAAGATTAGTAATAGTAAGAAATAAATCTACTTCAGTATAAGTTTTTAACGTGTTGCGTTATTAAGATATTACGCGTTATTATTGTAAAGGTAGGATATTATAGGGAAGTGGCCTACATACTAGGGTGGCCCGCTTACTAGTGAAACACGTCATATAGTAACGTTTGAATAAAGTTTTTACTAAAAGTATTATATAAAAATAGTAAAAGAGGTACTCTAAATTTATATATTAAGGCTCCTTTATATATAACTATAAGAGTTTTTACTATATTTAAAAGCTTGAGACTATATAAAAGAAAAAAGATACTACTTTTTAAATTAAAAAGTGAAATAAAGCTTTGAAGCCTCTTATAAAAAAGGCATAGAAGCTTATAATAAATATAAAAAGGCTTAAATTATATGATAAACCTAGTAGAGTTTTATAATAAAGATAAATAAAAGAGATAAGTAAGCTAGCTTATAAGAGTAGTTATAGTAGTATTAATTAGTAGTATTACTTGACTTAAGTTCTTATTTTAAAGCTAATTCTCTTCATAAAGAAGTGCTAAAAAGAAAGACTATATATCTTTATTTAAGAAAATAAAGTACTTTTATATACTTACTACGCTAAAAGAACTATATACTAAAATACTAAAGTAGAGTAGCTTTTATAGCTAAGTAATTTACTTAATCTTAATACTATTAAAGTAGCTTAGCTATAGCTTAAAAGAAAAATAATATAAAAAGGTATACTAAAAAGTGAGATAAAAGAAATAAAAGTATAGTGATAGTACTAGAATAAGCTACTTTACTACTAAATTTAAGCTTAGATAGAGCGTATTTTATTTTATATTTAAAAAGTTATTAAGCTTAAAGGTAGTAATAAGTACAAAGAGGGGCGGCGGGACTAGTCTACATAGCTTTAGCCCTATTTTCGGCGGTAATTAATGCACCCCTGTTAGCAAGAACTTTTGACAGTCACCTTCGTAGTCAATCTGCCGATCAGGGCGGGGATGGGGATTTGGGAGAGAGGGTGTGTATGGGAGCAGGGGAGAGGTGAGGCCAGGGCATCCCCGCCCCGCCAAGTCGCACCAAACGAGCGTTCGATGTCGGGCGTATGGGAGAGAGAGCGCGCGCAAGAGCGAGCGAGCGGGCGGAAGAGAGAGAGAGAGAGAGTTTGTGCGTGTGTGGGCGTCGGGTGTGGGAGGGTGAGCAGCAAGATGACTGCGTAGTCAGCAAACGGCCGCGGGCATATGTAAGCCTTAATATCCCATGCCACACACGCCCTTTGCAGTGCTGTGCGCCCGCCCTCGACCACGACCACGCCCTCGCGCCGTGGACCGACTGGCGCCGCCGCCGCCGCCGCTGCTGCTGCTGCGGATGACTGACTGACTGACTGGTAGCCAGACACTCAGCCTCTCCTTCACTCGTCCGCCCAACCGCCAACCGCCAACCCCCACCCCCTCTGCCCGTCAGCTGTGGCCAAAAAAGAAAAAGCCCAGGCGCCCATGCCGGTCTGGCCTCTCCCCTCCAGCCCGGATTCTGCGCCCTGCAACCACAAGCGACAGCCAACGGCCACCCAGCCTGACTAAACCACCCCCCGAAGGGCCCGGCCTGCCGTGTCCTTTCCCACGACAGCGGACGCGACATGCAGAGTGCGACGTCGCCGCGTCGTCGTTATTGCTGCTGTCTTCTTCGTCGCCGTCGCCGTCGTGCGTGCTTCGTCCCGTCAGCCCACGCACTACACTAAGCCCGCCCGACTCGACCGGTGCGCCATCCACCATCTCGTCCTCTCTTTCCCTCGCGCTGCTGCTGCGACTGCTTCCCGGCTGCTCCCTCGCCCGCGCCCGCTTGCTCAACCTAAATTCCTTGGCTGTACTCCTCGCTCGCATTGCTGGTGGAGCCCGGAAACCTGTCTGTCTGCGAAGGGTCTAGCGCCCATCTGCTCGTGCATTCACTCCACTCCACTCCACGCTTGCGCCTCTCGCTCTGCCCGTCGCAACCCCAGATCTTTTTTTTTTGCCGCAACCTTCGCTCTGCTCCCGGATTCCGCGGCATCACGTATTCGTGGACAAAGTAAAAATCAGAGAGAGACACTGTGTGTGTGTGTGCAAACCAAAAGAGCTGCGTCGACGGGTGCTCTGAGGAATGAAGTGCAGACGACGCACCCCGCCAGAGCCCTTGGATACCTCGACCCGTTTGCGCCTCGCTGCTGTCTCGCCAGTAACATGGTCAAGATGCGGATCCCCATCCGTGAACAATTGGGCTGCTTGGTCCTGCTGGCCTCGACAGTAGGCCTGGCCGTCCTCGGAGTCGCAACATGGGTACACACTGCTGCTGCTTGTATAACTGTCTGTTCTTGTTGCTGACTTGGCTAGCTTGCCAACCACGAGTTTGTGCTCGACATACGGTATGGTGGCTGCCATACAAAATCACCCGCGTCGTCATGCTAACGGCGCTGCTAGATCAACTCGCCTCACCCTAACCGCTTCCCTCAAGGCCGCACAGCTGTCGTCGAACCTGGCCCTCATGCAGATCCTCACCCAGCAAGCAGCAAACCGGCTTTCGCCGCAATTCGCGCTCCGTCGTTTCTACGGTGGTAACAACACGACTGACAACTGGGCCCGCGTCGGCGAAGACTACGATGCCATCTTTTCCGGTGATGCAAAGACTCGCGTCGCCGTCCAGGCCCGCATCTACCCCTACAACACCTCTGCAACCCCCGTCTTTAGTCGCACTGCCCCTAGCATGATGGATGTCGTGCTCCCCGTCCTCAAACCCGACGGCCAAAACGCAACCATGGGCGACGCCGAATACGGCTTCCTGCCTGACCTCTATCCCAAGTTTACCGTCCAGTCTACTCCCTACAACTCGACGTTTGACCTGTACAAGGCGTATTTTCAAGGCAGGACTATTGATAATACCAGCTACCTCCTGCTCGGCCCGTACCGCGTCAACGCCACGCTCAGTCTGGTTTCCATTACTGCGCCCATCATCAATAATACCTCCAATATCGACACGCTGGGTTGGGTCACGACTGTGCTGGATGCCTCGCTCATTACCAATGTCGTCAATGCCATGGACGGTCTCGACAAGAGCGGTCTGACGCTGCTGTTTGGCCCCGAAAACGTCACCAACGTCTTTCCCGCAAACTACATGTACACCGCCACGCACCCTACGCCCCCGGAAAATGTCCAAGTGCGCTTCCTCGTCCCGCCAACCGACCGGGACAACATAGAACGTCATGGGCAGTATGATACGGCTCTCGACCCGCCGCCTTTTGACTGGAACAAGTATCCTGCTATCCGCAAGGGCTTCACAGTGCCGACGCATGCGACTAGTAATGCTGGTAGCATCATCTCGACCCACAACGAAGAGGGCGCCCAGGTAGCCGCTGGATACGCAATCGTCGACAGTCCCATGGTCGACTGGATGATTATCGTAGAGCAAACACGCAAGGAAGTCTACGAGCCCATCAACCGCCTTCGCAACATCATCCTCGCCTGCGTGTTTGGGACACTTGGTGCAATGCTGCTTGTCACTTTTCCCGTCGCGCACTATTCCAGCCAGCCCATCAGAAGACTACGAGACGCTACTAGGAGGACAGTGTCGCCAACGTACGACGATGATTTTAGCTCGCAGAATGAAGTTGTCCATGACGACGTGGACCATGCAGCACTGGCTCGCAAAGAAGGCTTCCTTGGCCAAATCATCCACTACCGGCGAAACGCCAAACTCAACAAAGCTGAGAAAAGGGAGGCAGAGAGGCGTAGGCAGTTTCGCATCCCCAGCAAAGTCAAGGACCGCAAGCACTTTATCCACGATGAGCTCACCGACCTGACCACCACATTCAACGAGATGACGGATGAGTTGATGATGCAGTACGAGAAGCTTGAAGAGAGGGTCGCGCAAAGAACGGCAGAGTTGGAGCAGAGTAAACGAGCTGCAGAGGCTGCCAACGAGAGCAAGACTCTCTTCATTGCAAACATTTCGCATGAGCTCAAGACGCCGTTGAACGGCATCTTGGGCATGTGCGCTGTTTGCATGTCAGAGGACGACCCTGTCAAGCTGAGGCGATCTCTAGGCATCATTTACAAGAGTGGAGACTTGCTTCTGAACTTGCTGACAGATCTTTTGACATTTAGGTAAGTTGATACACCAACACAACACGCACATGCTAATAAGAGTAGCAAGAACCAAGTCGGACAGCAGCTGAGCTTGGATGAAAAGGAGTTTCGCCTGCGAGATATTAGCTCCCAGGTTTTGGCCATTTTCGAAAAGCAAGCACGAGAGAGCGGTATCGCGTTGGCTGTAGAGTTTGAAGGCCCGTATGAGAACAATCTGGACGACAATGAACGGCCCAACGAACTGCGTGACCTGGGTCCTTTTGGGCTTGGCCGACTGAAAGACATGATTCTGTACGGCGACCAACATAGGATACTCCAAGTGGTTATCAATCTGGTGTCCAATAGTCTCAAGTTTACCCCTCAAGGCGGCTCCGTCACGCTCACAATTCGATGTCCTGGGGAGACCCAAATGTCGGAGAGCCGCAAAGCCTCGATACAATCACGACAGAGCTCGACGCGCAACTCCAAGAATCGCGTCTGGGCTTCTGCATCCGAGATTGGATCCGTTTCGGTAGCAACGCCGAATCACTACGATACTGCTAATGTCATCAACGTCATGGACAAGGGCAATGCGTACTCACACTACCTGGTTCAAGAGCGGGCTGCGACGCCACCACCGGGACGCTGGCTGTCGTTTGAATTCGAGGTCCAAGATACCGGCCCAGGTATCCCCGAGCATCTGCATTCCAAGATTTTCGAGCCGTTTGTCCAGGGCGATTTGGGGCTTAGCAAGAAGTTTGGAGGCACCGGTCTTGGCCTGAGTATCTGCTCGCAACTTGCCGGCTTGATGAAGGGCACGATTGGGCTGAAGAGCGAGGTGGGCCACGGAAGCGTCTTCACCATGGTCATTCCACTCAAGCACCTGACGAGTCGAGCCGACAGCACGGCAAGTTCCAGAAACATCAACATTGAAACAGGGACCCCGCGGCGAAGTCTATCGATCGACGATCCCCCGCGTGGACGGTCCCATGATGATGCGCGGTCGGCCCGCTCGTTACGCTCCGGGGCTAACAGCCCTATCAGCATGCCTAATTCGGCCGCAACCGCCCCGCCGGGTCCAGTATCGTTTGAGACTGACAACCAGCCCCGTCTCGTTGGTCTCAGCCAACCGTTTTTCGCTTCCAACAAGCCATTGGACTCGCCAAACTCACAGGTGGCTGCCATGAAGCGGGTCGAGGCGGAAGCCACCAAACGCGGCGACAAGGTCAAGGTGTTGGTTGCCGAGGACAACAAAACCAACCAGGAAGTCGTTCTGCGCATGTTGAAGCTTGAGGATGTCTACGACGTGACTGTCGCCAAGGACGGCCAAGAAGCCCTCGACAAGGTCAAGGAGAGCATGGAGCGCCAGGCTCCGTACAACCTGATTTTCATGGACGTCCAAATGCCCAACCTCGATGGTCTGCAATCGACACGCCTGATCCGCCAATCCGGCTTCTCAGCCCCGATTGTCGCGCTGACGGCGTATGCTGAGGAAAGCAACGTGAAAGAATGTCTGGATTCAGGCATGGATTTTTTCCTCTCCAAGCCCATCCGCCGCCCTGCGCTCAAACACGTCTTAAAAACATACTGCTCTACCATCCCTGAAGAAATGGAAACTACGCCTCCACATACTGCCGCTACTACTACTACCGTCGACTCGAAGGCAAACGGCTCACCTTCAAGTCCAAAATCCCCGACGAAGATGAAGGATACGAGTCCTTTTTCGGCGGTTAAACAGAAAGCTGAGGCCCTGGCTGCGGCAGATTCGCCGTCGATATCGCCAATGACATCGCCGGTTTCATGATGATTTTAATTGTTTGTTGTTCGTTCGTTGTCCGTTGATTGGTGTAAAAAGTTGGGGGTTTGATTGCTTCTCTTGCGACTGCATCATGTCTCCCCCCCCCTTCTGTCTCTATAGCTCTCTGTCTCTCTCTCTCTTTTCTTGTGCACGATACCACAATTCATGTTTTTTTTCTTCCTCTTTTTTTCTTTGCTGTAATTCCTCGTATCTTTCTTTCTTTTCTTTTTTCTTTTGGCATCACGCGTCTTAAGCATCAAAATACTAACTTGCATGGCAGAGCATTTGGCGAGAACAACCAAACGGAAAGTAAACAAGACTCTTTCTCTCTCTCTCTCTTAGTCTATGTGTTTTAGTTTTTTTGGTTTCTGCTGTATTTTTTTTTTTTGCTGGGGTGCTCTTTGCATAGGCATGCTGGACCAACTAACGACCTCTTCTTGTTTTTTTTGGGGGGGGTACTTGGCCGTGGGAATGTGTACATACATGGGCGATGGTGCTGGTGCTGGCTTGGTTTCTTGTTTCTGTCTCTGTCTTTGTCCCTTGATCGGTTAAACTCTATGGGGAGGTCTTTTGTCATTTTTTTTTCTGGGCGGACATACGTACATACATACATATATATATATATCTATTTCACTTGTTTATTTACTTTGAATTCAAGTATAGCATTGTCAAGTACACGTTCTTCACTCTGTGTCTTTCTTTTTGCCTCGAGCTTTCTCTGTCCTTGACTCTTATCTCTCTGCCTCTGTGTCTTGCTTGCTCTTGCTGCTGATGGCTGCTACTTGCATTTCATGCCGAGTATGCAAACTTGACTCGGCTTGGCTTTGGCCTGGCCTGGCCTGGTTTAGGGACTACCTGGTGGACTTGTCTAAGTTCTAGACGAGAGGCAGACACAGATACAGATACAGGCACAGATACAGGCACTGATGCGCAGAGTGCAGCAGTAAAAGGCTCGGTGCAATGTACCAAGTACAGCAGCGGCAAAGAAGGCGTTTGCAGCAAAAGCAGCCTTTGAAGAGAAAAAAAAAAGCCTTGAAATTGTTTTCTCTCGAGTTTTCCAGGAAACACAAAAATACAAAAATACAAAAATAAAAATAAAAACAAGTTAAAGTATGTATGTATGTATGTAGTAGACATAAATGGCAACGATTAGAAAAAAATCAAAGTACATATATACATATATACATACATACATACATACATACATAGTCTTAAGTATCGCCTTCTTTTTTCTTTTTTCTCTTTTCTCTCTTTTCTATTTTATCTATATCTTTTTTATTTTTCAATCAAATCTTTCCAAGTAAAAATTTTTTTTTCTAATTGTGGACTTATCGCAAAGGATGAAGGGGGGGTAGGGGGGGGGGTAAGGTAGGTAGTTATACATTTCTGATTTATATATATATATATATATATAGTTACATGGACAAAACTTGAACAAAAGGCTGATAAGTACATACATACATATTTACATATTTACATATTTACATATTTCCATATTTACATATTTACATATTTACATATTTACATACCTGGCAGCAGGTACACAAATAGTAGGATTAGTCTATTAAAAAAAAACTCTCTTTTTTTTCCCGTCTATGTATGTATGTATATATGTATGTATGTATATATGTATGTATGTATATATGTATGTATGTATTACTTTTTCAATTAAGCCTGATTACTTTTTTTTATGTTCTTCTTTCATTCAAAGGGCTCTTGCGGGGGAATCTGTATGTATGTATGTATGTGGTATTATCATGTTCTTTTATGTTCCGATCCGTTGCGTATATACCATATGTACCATGTATACATATCAACATTAGACGCTACCTTGTCTTGCCTTGTTTTGATTTGATTAGACTTGTCCAGCGTATCTACTTGATCTGGAGTCATGCAAGAGATGCATGGCTGGGTTGCATCTACGAGGGATACTGCGCGTTGTGTTGCTGTCGTGCAAGGAGCGTGTTCGGCACAGTACACATTGCATTGCGCGCATGCACCCACACCCACCGAGCCGCAGCAAGTACATCTGCACACTGAGCTGTGCCGACTTGCTGTCCCAAGCATGCTACCAGTCTCGGCCCCAATCAAGCAGATTTTCTCGTTTTATTTCTTTTTTAGCTTGGACGACCACAGCTCATGAGAGAGAGTAGGGCTTGTTGTTGCGGATAATGTAAATCTCACCGACGAGCACAACAAGACCGACGACCATGGTAATAGCGATGATGGGGAGATTGACGCGCGCGAATTCCAGGCCGCCAACGCGAATGTGTTTGCGGTCAAGGATATCGCGCCAGAGCATGCCGGCGAGGGAGGCACTAAAGGCAAGACTGAAGGCACCGTAGTTGACGCCAATGGCCATACTGACTGCATGTTAGCTTTGCACAAGACCATGTTTTACAGATTCCAAACGTACCTGTAAATAGTGCCCCAGAAGGTTCGGTCGGATATCGGAATTCCGTTCTGGCGGTGAATCTCCTCCCATGCTTGGACGACGCGGGAAATCAGAATCGTGGTGCCGATGTTTGTGCCTGCAAACTGGAATGTGGGTTAGACGTTTGTAGATTTGAATTCTGACTAGAAAATGGCAACTTACATTACAGAGAATGACAGAGACAAAGCCCATGCCGCCAATGGCACCGACAGTTCCCGTCTTTTCAACCCAGTGATCCCAGCCGTGTGCGAAGACCGGAACCCAGCCTTTGGTGACAAGGGCTTGCACGAGGACAAACATGCAAAAGGCAAAGGGAACGAGAGCTAGAGGGAGGTGGTGGAATACAGTCATTGTTGTGGGAAAGGTTTCTTGTGCCCAGGTGTATGCGTCTTGGGTGAGGGATATTAGCGTGGTTGGTACGGGCTTCTTGCTTGGTTCCACCCTCTTCTCTTCGTCTGAGACGCACTCGTTGACTGCCATCTCGCGTGTTCTGTCGCTCGGGGCCGGGCTGGAAGTCCCTGGTAGTGGCTGCTTTTCATCTGAGAGAGTTGAAGCCTGGGCATCCTGGACGGTTATTGCGTCTGCGTCTTGCTGTGCAACTGACATTCTTCTCGCTTCTTCTCTCTCAGCAAGTGCCGCCTCCATTCTGCGTCGGCCTTCATGCGCAATATTTCGCGTCTCTTTCCTGTTGAGCCAGCCCATGGTGAGATCGAAGCAGAGCATAATGGTTGCAGCAGGCAAGGTGACCCAGAACACGGGATGCTCGTGTGTGCCTGTAGAAGCAGCGTTGAGAGCGAGCACAGTTACCAGAGTAGCTGCCATAAGAGCCGCTCCGAACATGGCGCCTTTCCTATCCAAAAACGGATTCAAGACCTCTTCAAGGGAGTTCTTCTTTTCTTGCTCTTCGTCGCTATTGGAATCAGCCTCGCTGTCATCGACTCCACCCTTTGCAAAGGGAATGTTTGGATTCACTGGTTTCTTGTTCTACATCGTGAATTAGCAATCATCCCGGAATCATGCGAAGCCATGCAAAACTCGTACCTTGAGTTCGTCTGGAAGATCCTCCATTTTGATAGCTGAGGGAATAAGAGACTCGTCGTGGAAGATGATGTACAGCAAAAAGGGGTACAGGACAATGCCTGTTACGAGGACGGGAACAATGACGTTGGCTGTGTACTTGATAAAAGTAATCTTAAAGGCTCCAGCTAATACCAGGTTGGTCGGGTTGGACGAAACAAGGATTGTGGATGCAATGTTTGCCACGGAAAACTGAGTGAAGATCCATGCTCGCGGGTGTTTGATGTTGCTGGACACGCGCGTCATGTAGGATAAAAAGGCAGTGCCGGACAGAATGACGGGGTCATTGCCGATGAGAGCTGTGAGCCCGAAGAAAAAGGAGTAGAGATAGAAAAACAGCCGGTGGCCGACTTTGCCTCCCTTTTGCAGAACCTTGAAGGCCAGCCACCTGATCAAGCCAGAAGCGTCGACGGAGATGGCAATGTAGGCCAGCGAGAGGAAGAAGAGCATGATGTCGTAGGGCACGATGCCTTGGTCGCCAACGGTGCCGCCGCGAACTTCCTTCTTGCCAATAGCAAGAATGGCGAGCAGGAAGAGATCGGCGATCAAGGGAGCAGTAATGAAGTTCATGGGAAAGTTGAAGCGCACCAGAGGACCGGGTTTGCCATTTCGGACTCTGGTTGGATGCTGGGGCGGCGGGATTATGCGCATGGCACTGAGCATGTCGAGAAGCGGGGTCCATAGGGCGCGCGGGAGATAGATGGGAATGTGGAAGGGGAACAAGACATTGATGTCTGCAGTAGTGGCGGTTAGTTGACGCTGCAGGGCACGGGCACGCACACTCGACTTACTCGTCAGCACGAAAACGATGAGGGTGACTATGGAGCGCCACTCCTTGATCTTGTTGGTATCGAGATCAGGCCTCTCGGCCTCGGTCGCACGCGGAGCCAACATGTTGCGGATGGTGGCAGCAAGTCCAAGTCGAGGCGGCCGTGGCCGTTATGTATGACGAGCGAAGGCAAATAAGAGGAGCGGTAGTCGCAGAGTGGGCTATCAATTAGGGCCGATTGCAGGACGTGAGAGGCGTTAGTTGGGAGCCGATGGGCCTCAATGCCGCAGCACAGGTCAGTGGTGATGGCGCAGAGTCGTGTGCAAAATGACGCACGGCGCGAGCATGGCCGACGAGTGAGGCTCGCGATCTTGTGTAATGTAAGAATGGCCGTGTAGATGTAATGCAGGCCGAGCGTGGTTCAAGAAGCGCACATGATGGGCGACGGGGATCACGGCCGCCTGCATGGTTGGGCTCTTGGCCTCTTCGGCGCTGCCAACGACGGGTGGCAATCGGAAAACAGGATGCAACCACGGCCCTCGAGCCATGCGCCCCTTTTTTTAGGCTTTTCGCGCTGCCGCAGTTTTCCCAACATGCTGTTCGCTCTCGCTGCCCGCCGCCGTGTCGGTCGCTGGCTGTCAGTGGCGGTCGCTGTCTGTGCCCGCCACGCCCTGAGTCAGCAAAAACTGCCTGGGCAGGTCACGTTGTGGGCATGCTCAGCCACGCTTCGCCCCATGGAACCGCAAACGCTCACCGGTAAATCGTGTATTACCCCAGGCCGTTGAAATGTCTCGCCCGACGCCCGCCTCACTAGCAGACGTTCTGCCTGCTTGCCTGTCTGCCTGTGTGCGCGCTGCAATGCCTCCGGTGCTTCTCTCTGCGCCAGCGACCTATGTACATAATGTCTTTGCTGCATCTGCCACGGCATGTCCGGTGTAAATATGTCCCTTACTCGAGCCCTCTTCAACACTACGCCTAGTGCCACGACTACAGTCCCCACAGCCTCGCCTGTCACTGCGCCTGTCACGGCTGCATTCCACGTCGTGTGTGCCTGGCCCGTCTCGTCAAACTACGGCGCTGGCTCGCGCGTCAGTTCCCCTCAGATACCCAATGACTCGGGTACGACGCGTAGCAAAAACTGACAAGGCAGACAGATCCTCTACTACGTCCTCGTTGCTGCATGTGTCGCTTTTCGCAAAGCTGAATGGCTGCGCAACACCTGCTTGGCCGCCGTCCTCATCCTCCCAGCCGTCTCGTCCATCCAGGGCATCGCCCTCGCCTCTTCGCATCGAGATGGTCCGTCTCCATTGCTGCCAAATCTTCAAATGTAGACATGCTAATAGTTAACCAGGGGGCATTGACCTCGACATCTTCGGCGCCTTCCAGTTCTGCGCAATCGGAATCTTGGCCGCTCCCCTCACCGTGCGGCTGTCGCGCACCTACTTTTATACGCCAGGAAGAAACATAATCTTCATGTGGACCATACTGGTGCTCATGGGCCTATTGGCGCTTTGTGTCGAGTTTTACCGCGTCACGCCCACGGACTGCAGCGTAAACTTTGATATCAACGCCCACCGAGGAAGCGCCGACTTCTTAAAACAACAACCCAAGTGCAACATAACATGCTCAGAAGCACTGGGCCCACACTCTCCCTTGCGGGGCGGAGCAGCAGCCGACGTCTTTGTCATTCCCGTGCCACATGTTTTGACCTTTAATGCGGCAATGCTCTTGGCTGCAGGGTTCTGTATACCAGGGATCCTGTCCTTGATCTTTACCTGGGACAAGGTCCTAGAGGCAAACTGGAAGAGACGGCGCCCTGTGGAAGAGCTGGATGCTCGCATCCAAGGCGCAAACATGACGGTTGGAGAGATGAGAAATATCAACGATCTTGTGCGCTCGTTTCTCACCGTCATTGAGATTCCGCTTTTTGGTGGTGTCATCCTGACCATCATTGCGATCGGAGAAGCAAACTTCTTCAGCCCTCAGATGATGTACATGACTGAGCCTCAGGCTTCTTTTGGTGAGCATTTTCCAGTGACAGAATTTCTTCTCTAACACTGTACAGGGCAGTGGTCACCCATAGCCGGTACAATTTTCGCCGCCTTTGGATCCCTGTATCTGCTTTGGGCAGCCGGCGACGAAGAGGATCTCGACGAAAAGCGTAACACACCATGCGAGCCTTCGAATTTGTCGTGTCACAGCCGTGGTAGCGGCCGATGTGCGTCTCCGCAATCTCCACGCCCTCAGCCGCAGGCAAATCCTGAATCCAATGCAAACCCACAGACGAATGCTTTGGGCATACGTTCAGAGTCTCCCTATGACGTTTCCCTGATTCCGACAATTACGTATCCAGACTCTGATAGTGACCATCTCAACGAGATGACCTCGGATGGCCATCAAAGCGATCACCCCACAGCCGGCCGACACAAGATCCGCAAATGGCTAACGGCTGCCGGCAACTATCTCGGGGATGCCGCACAGGAAAAGCTGGATCGCGAACACAGCCGCACCGACGAAGCCACACGGGGTTTCCCAGAGATCCCCGGCGAAGGCTTCCGCAACCCGGACCTGGAAATCATCAGCCGCAATTTTGATCGAATGCGCGAGGCCAGAGCCGGGAGCACGTATACTGCGAGTATCCGGTCTGCGGTAGATGAAGCGCAGCACCCAGAAGCTAGTCCTGCTCAGTCACCGAGACGGCGCGACACGTTGGAAGTACCAAAGGAAACTTATCAGAGACGCGATACCGGCTGAGGGCATATTCAGCGGGTAGCTGCATGTACTATTGAACAATACCGCGTATCTAAGCCGTCACTACAGCCCGATCAGGCCTCACGGTCAAGTGCGATGAACGCTATATCCAACGCCCACGGCCCAGATGCCTTGAATACTCGGACCAAAGTCAGTGCGATATTTCCTCGACCTCATCGGCATAGCACCAGCCCCAAAGCCATCCACCCACCACTTACGCATCGCGATACTTCCTCAGCAACAGCCTTGCATCCACCTCGCCATTCAAGCCAGCATTTCACCACACCAACCCAACCCAGCCCAACCCAACCGGAGAAAACCCCATGCATCCGTATCTGCATGCCCATTATCCCCGGAACACCATCCCCTCGCTCCTGACTCACACGTACTTAATTTCCGCTGCTGCCGCCGCAGCCACAAACGCAGCCACAAAGCACCCTGCCGGTCCCTCCCGACCACAGCAACACCCACATACATACACACACCGGTGACCCAAAAAAAAAGCTGCCAGCACATCTGCCATGACGATAATGGTGCCCGACGGATTGCTTGTCGCAGATATACACATGTTTTCGGGTATCAATGACACAAGTACCCCTCAAATTGCAGTCGAGGCGCTCCCTGCTATTGTGCCTTGGAGAACGCTTTTGATACGTAGGTTTTATGCATCTAGCCGTCTTCTTCTTCCTCCTTTTCTTCTTCTTCCTTTTTCTCCTTCTTGCTTTTACATCCAGTCTCACAAGTACATGTACAAGTACATGTACCCTTCTTACCCGCCCGCCTCCGAAATTGGTACTTCAGACTGCATGTACCATGGCGAGCACCAACGCGAGCGTGTGTGTGTGTGTGTGTGTGTGTGCAGCGCTGGGGCTATTTGCATTCCATCTAGCTGCCACGAAATACAAAGCCACATCTTTCTGGTCTAATTTTTTGGAGAGGGGGGGTGGGGGAGGAAAGGGGAAGAGGCAGTGCAAGATATACAAACCTGTACTTATGTACGGACATAGAACAGATAGACCTGTATATAGACTTGCAGATAGATAGATACATAGATTGGTATTGTATTGTATTGTATTACATCTTTGGAGAATATAAATACATATATATACTTACTTACTTACTTACTTACATGCTTTTGTCTTCGCTTTTCGTTCTTCTCCCTTGATTAATCACCAATCCCTAGTTCCCCAAGTCCCAAGTCCCAAGTCCTCACACAACACGAATCTCCCACCTTGGTTAGAATCCAGTGTTATGCGTGAAATAGTAGGTGTTGGGCGTGAAGATGGAAAGTGTGTGTGTGTGTGTGTGTATGTTGACAATGCTGCTTGATACGACTTTGACCAACGCCCCCGCGAACAAAAAAAAACGGTTGCGTGAGGAACTATGTACATATGTAGGTTGAAGGGATCATCCTGGGATGGATAGATGTGGAATCTAAGAACCTGTCTAGCAGCAGCGTAAGGGAAGGGAAAAGAGAATATTGTTGGTCTTTAGAATTGGAAGGGTGAAGGGTCAAGTCTGGATTGTGATAGTCACGTGATTTATGTATGGATGTATGTATGTATGTATGTATGAATTTCCAGCACGCTAATCGAAAGAAAAACAAAAACATAGAACACATGTGAGACTATGATGTGAATCCGAATTTCCCCCCCTTTTTCCCCACTCCCCTTTTTACACAAAACCCCACTACGACTTTCCCGCGTGAACTATGCATAAAGACGCAAAAACCAGCATCAAACATGTCTAGCAGCATACATGGCCCTCAGACCCTGCAACTCTTCAATAACACCATCGAGCTGCTCCGGCCCCTCCAACGCAACAACCCGCTCGTAGATATCCGCGACTTGGGCCTGCCAGATAGAGTCGCCATCAGCAGGATCCTCAAAAGAGCCTGCGTAAGACGTCAGAGCCGAGAAGCCGTCGCCGTCGTCGTCGTCGTCGTCGTCGGATGCGCGGAGGGGCGAGCCGGGAGATGGAAAGCCAAAGGGAAGACGGGGAGGGGGAGAGCCTAGTGTGGAGCTTGGTGTGCGTGGAGAAAGCGGGAGGGGGCGATCAGGTGCTGAGATTTGTTAACATCGTTATGTGACGCAGAGGGGGGCGGTGCGGAGTACGTACTGTTGGGTGGATAGTCCCGTACCGATGACGACGCCATGGAACTCAGGGATACAGAGCGCAATTCGGCTTGTGTGATGACTCGCTGGCGCTCCGCACGCAGAGCCGGGGGCAAGCAGTCGATGCGAGGGGTTGCGACGGGGAGACGGGTGGGGGCAGAGACAATGCGAGCGGCCGTGTCAGCGCGAGACTGGTTCTCGACGAGGGTAATGCGAGGTTCACTGCAAACCATTGCGTTAGTTTCAAGAACAGTGTCAAGGATCCGGTGGTGTGTCCGGATCAGGCGGGGTCGAGGCGGGCGAGAGAGAGGTATGGATCGGTGGCTAGGTGTGTCGGCCCAGGACTGCGTGACACCAGTCTGTGCCTGGGTCGCGCAGCTTAGGGATGCCGGGGACTTTGCGGAGGGAAAGCTGTGTGGAGGGTTTAGCATACACTGGGCGCTGAGTAAAGACTTCTTGCATTAGCTGGCGGAGGTGCGGGTTGCGGATGCGCAAAAGGTTGTAGCCCTTGTATTCGCCATGTTAGTGTGTGGTGTGGAGGTGGTTGCAACGGAGAATGGAATAATTACGTGATCTAAGCGCAGTTCGCGGATGTGTTGTTTGGCTTCTTGGTAGTTTTCGTCGCTCTCGTTGATCCAGTAGCTGAAGAGGGACAGGTTCACGTCGGCTATGGTCTCGTTGTAGATTTCTTCGGTTAGGCGCTGTACGTCCTCGCGTGTGAGGTTGACGTGGAGGGATCTGTTTCGTCCGTGGCTAGGGCAGGGAGTGCTGGGTTGCGGACTGCATTTTCTTTCTGCTGCTTCTTCGTCCTCGTAGTGAAAGGTGCTGCTGGCATCGTCCGAGGCAAGGTACGTCTTTGCAAAAGCAGCGAATTCCTCGGGAGAAAGCGCTTGAAGCTTCCCAAGAGTTTCCTGGCTTGCTCGTCTGTCTACAATGGGTTCGGTTTCAATTGCTTGTTGGAGCGAAAGAAACTCGCCATTGTGATTGGACTCGCTCGTAGTACGTGTCTCTGCACTGTCGATGTTGACATGCTCTGACGTATGACACTCAGCCGTGCCGTTGGCGTCCTTGTCGACTTTCTCGGAGCTCGGGATTGTAGGCAGATTGCTGCTATCGATGCTACTGCGAGGCCGTTTTTCACGCTTGAAGAAACTGCCCAACGTCCTCGTACTGCGCTTGCGAACGGCACGGCGCTGCTCTGAGCCATCTTCGGCGCCCTCTCTCGTACCGCGCTTATGGCGTACGCTTGTAGGTGTGCTGTATCGAATAGAGCCTTTGTTAGAACTGCTGGACTGGCCGTAAAGCGATGGCACTACGTCTGGCGAGAACATGGTTGCCGCCAAACCAGCTTGAAGCTGCGCATGTGGGAAGTCCATGGCTGATACGCAATGCTGCTATTTTGGTATGCAATGTCACGTGTTGCAGAATTGAAGTTCAAATGGATGTGTCGGTGTGGGATTGTGAGTTTTCGAGTACAAACCGTAGGTGTAAACGAGACGTAGCGGCGCACTGACAGCAAAAGTGACGGTGAGAGTGAAAGTGAGAGCAGAGATAGCATTTTGCTATCACTGATTTGATCTATTGTTCAATAGACAATGGCAAGATGTAGCCATGTTTGAAACATGATGTGAAGAAATCTCACGGGCAGTAAGCGGTTCTGCAGGTTGAGGTCAATAGTGGCACCGAGACGGTCGGCGACACGCCTTGAATGTCGGTTGTTTTCAGTGTCATTGCAAATGGCATCTGTTTCCATGGTGTAGTGTGGTTGTTTGCAGTTGACGTTGGACTCTTGGCATGGTTGCGGTTCAAACGCATGGCCACATGGAGTCGTGGTATTGGGATACAGCTGTCAACCAATAAGATTCGTGAACGATCGATTTGGTAGAAGCAAGCTCCAGGAACGTGGCGCAGTGACCAAGACGGTCGAGTCTAGCGTTGGCAGCCTCATCTACTTTGTATCCTGCTAGACGTATATCCGGTTACCGGGTCTGGCGGGTGACTCAACAGATTCCTCAGTATTCCCGGCTCTAGACATGCGAACAGTAGATACCATTTCTTATTATACCCTATAGCCGCAAGCATACTATAGCTCTTATCAAGATAGCCGTGGCCATATCGATCGGCAGTTGCTACTTTGCTCTATAGTCTCGGGAATATGGCATTAAATTGGTCGATAAGTGGCGATGGCTGGTTCGGACACCAACATTTGCTCCCATGCGACTCATTGACGTCATTAGATAGGGGCTTCTCCTCGTGCTGGCAGACTCAGTCTGTAGGGTTGAACCCGGTAGCTCGACACACGACCAAGAGGGATGATGTGATAGGTGGGAAATGTTTGACGAGTTGACGACTTTCGAAGCCACTGTCGGATGGTGAGACACGACGTAGACGATCGTATTGATGCTGAAGGGCTGAACGGATGACACGAGGAAATGCACTGTGCACTGTATGAGGAAAGATCAGTGTCTCTCGTCCCCCATGCCTCACGGTAGGTAGAATAAACTTTGGCTGGGTGAGAAAGAGAGCTGCATGGAGGAGCTTTGCCGGCCCACAGCCGGCTTCAAGTCAATGGCCGAGCTCGGTGGCCGTCAGAGGGTGTGGGTGATCCTTTGCGAAGGAAGGCCTGGCAGAGGGAACGGGCCGATTGGGTGGCCAGTGGAGGCGGGTGACTGGGATGTGGCGAAGGATGCGCGCGAGAAAGTCGATGCTGCAATGGCCAGGCACCTGACATGGCGACGTGGAAGGGGATGGAGATGGGGGGTGGTGGAGGTGGTGGTGGTGGTGGAGCTCGACGTTGGCCATGCCGAAGCTACTACCACTACTTACCAGCTGCTAGTCGCCCGGGGAAGCGTCGACGCATGCCGAGGCCGAGGCCGCCCAGCGCACAACCGCCTCCCGATGTTGGCCAAGCTTCTGCCGCCTGCCGTCTTGTCCTGGGCACTCGCTCGGCCTCGCCCATCTCTCTCTGCCTGCTGCTGCTGCTGCCTCTTCTTGGCTGGAGCCTACAGCCTCCCCTCTTCCTACTATCCCCATCGACCCCCCAGGGTGCTGCAACAACGCATCGCTTACCCACACCTTCGTGCCCCTCACGCATGCACCTCGGCTTAATTAAAAAAGCATCGCCAGTGCGCTTACGCTGCCTGCAACAGTCACGACATCTGGACGCCCGCCCCGGTACTCGCATAGACGTGCTCCCACGGCGCTTATAGACGTCGCACAAGAAGCACAGCGGAGTCGAGCCGCGAGCACCAGCGGCCATGCCCACTTTTTGCCAACACTGATATTGCGGCGCAGGCTCTAGGTCGCGGTCGAGGATGCATCCTGGCCCGACACGGCCACCACTCAGGCGGCCGGGGCCAACTTTGATCCACGAACTCATGATCCCAGCTCCAGACGGAGCGCCTCGGGAACCACGGCCATGACCGACGACGACGACGACGACGAACCACGGCGGCCAAGGTTCGCTGCTCCAGGCCCGGCCGTGCCTTGACAGCCGTCGTGTCGAGCTGAGGCGACTGCTGGGCTGAACAGGTGCCCGGCCGAGCTGATTCGCGACGGCGTGCAGCGAATGGGGCGGCGAAGCGCTGCCACTCGTCGCGGGCCCCAGGCCGCACATCTCACCAAGTCGGCACGACGACAGGATTGTTGGCCCGCCCCCCGGCTCCCCATTCTGGTCGTATGAAGTTTGCAGGCGCTCTCCATATGAGATTTGCGGCGCGGTCGATGCAGCCTGGGCCAATCGACGACCGATGTTAGCGCCTCGCCGTGTTGGATCGCCAATCATTGCCGACTTAGCCTCGCAGCCAACGTCCTTCACCCTCGTCGACCCTCCCGCTCCTGCTACCAACGGCGGGGACACTACCAGGCGGCTCTCGAAACGTTCAACCGCGCTCCATTGCGCTGCGCAGCTCCGCATCGCCACCACGAGGCCATGCTTGACTCGCCCAAATCTGACCACCTTGGTCAGTGTAGCACGCACCCTCACGGCGCGGATGACGCGTGTGTGGTGCAGCCATATAGCAAAAGCGTAGCCTGCAGGCCTCAGGTGCTACCGTCCCTAGTCGTCTGTTATCGTCATGCTTCGTTTTGGGGCGCAGTCTCTCTTCTCCCCTCTGGTCTGACTTTACCCACTTGACCGGAACCGTTGCTGTGCCGCAAGTACACTCGCTCGGTATCTCTGCTTATGCTCTCGGGAGCAGCCTTCTTTTACATCCTTCGCCGCCACCGTCTCCGTCATTCTTTTCGCGTCGTGTGCGTCTCATTAAACGACGTCCTTGCGCACCCGCCCCTTCCTGACCTACTTTCACACAAAAGCTTGTCACATACTTGGCACGGTAACGCCTCCCAAGCCATGGCCACCCTCTCAGTCCCGTCACAAGACATGACCTCGCTTTCATTGGGCAATAGCATTCACAGGCCCCTCTCTACTCACGGCTTGCCCAAGCAGCCGCGCACCATGTCTCCCGAACGACCACACCGTTTTTCAACAAAGAGCTACCCCCCTCCTGCCCTCGCTCACACTCCAATGTCTCCACACTCGTCCGCCCCAATGTCTCCACCACCAATGTCAGCAAAGTCTTTCGGTACCTTTATCGACTCGGAGCCGTCGACACCAGCCTACTCTCCGAGGATGGACAATGAATGGAACGACTCGTCAGTCGTCCTGGTGCGGCCCATGTCCTCCTCTTCAGAGCCTTCGAGTCCTGCAGAGCCGGTATGGCGTATGCTGAAGCCGCTTCCAGCCAAGGCACCGCCCAAATCTACCCCTATTGCCCCTCAGTCAAAGGCACCAGCCGTCAACGCCAAAGAAATTTCGTCCAACACATCGCTAGCCTCGCACCAAACCAGAGAGGCAAGGCACATCAGCCACCCAAAGGAATTCAAATTGGCAGACTTGTCTCAACAACACTATCCTCCGAAATGCGAAGACATCCAGCCTACAGAGGAGGACCCAGACGAGCAAAAGTCTGGCACTCCCACGTCAGCGACCTTTGGCAAGATTGCTTCCAAGATGAAGCTGATGCTCCGACGGAAGAACACAAACACAAACAAGAAGGAGAAGAAGAAGAGGCACTACGAAGAGGTTGATCGTATAGAAGACAGGCACTGGACGGAGATGTGACATGCTCGCTATACCAAGCACAGCTGAGCTCAGCTATTACCACGCTCAGTACTGAGAAGTTCATCAAGTCGATATCAGATTGTACGCATGCGCGCCATGAGAAGGGAGTTAATACCATACCGACAGGGTTTGGAGAGCGAATTTGGAAGGCTTATCGTATCGCAAGGGAAGCGACTTTTTCATTCGATAATCGTGCTGCTGGTCATCATAACTAGTCTCACCGGCGCACTTGGCAGGTGTTTATTGAGTTTTTTGATTCTTGGGATGGGAGTTTGAGGGCCATGTTTTTATCAGGAGTTGCAATCGAGCCACGATACCCAACTGCCATACTTAGTCTACAAATTACTACATTATCTTTCTTGCAACGTTGTGTCGCAGCAGGCATCCGTATGTGTAAACCCCACCTTGAAAATTTGAGGCGACAAGGTAAACTCCATGCCATAACGTTTACCAGGTCTAGGTCAGTACCAAGGGCTGCATTTGTTGCTGACGCTGCATTACCGCTCAAGCCTCCCGCTCGGTGGGCGCTACCCGCCCGCCTCACGTGAGAAGGCGATCGACAGCATGCGCACAGACCACCCATTTTGAACTCCACGTGCGCGGGACCTCAGCACCGAGTCTGCCAAAGACTTCTGATCCACAACACAGCCATAATGATACCAAGGCAATGGGGAAGAACAGCCCGCTCGAGTTTTGCGACGACATCTCAATTGTCTACAAAGTTATCCCCACGTGCAACGACAAGTAGCATATTTCGACCACGTACAGAGCATTTCAGACGCGTTCAACACAGTGCAACAACATCACGTGCTTTCCCCCAGACCCGACAAGTCCATGAGCGACTCCAGCATCTCAAAAGAAAAGATTCGTTACTGCATGCTGGGAACAATGGCCTACGAACTCCAAGCCCTGTCACTACCCTGCTACACTCTGGCTTCCCCACAAAGACGGTCATCGCCCTCGTCCTCGTCGGCGGCCTAGCATACTATCTCATCGATATAGTCGAGCCCACCTGGACTGACGATGTGTACGCGGCGTTTTCCTCGGGCGACGACTCCAGCGCCATGACCACACCGCTGCATTTCTACCGCAACCGCACTGAACTGCAACATACCCTCGACTATCACATCCCAGACCCCAGTGCCCCGCTCAAGGACCCCAACATCGCCAAGTTCTTTTCTGAGCAATTCGAAAAGCTGTGCTTCGGATGGATGATGACCGAGGACGATGCACGCAAGGGCGTTGAAGGTATGGAAAACGTGCACATGCCTATTACGCACGGGTGTCGCTTCCGCAGCAACGAGCCATGTGAGGATTTCTTTGCGCTGGGCACGAGTCCCGGGCCGGGCGAGAAGATGTGGAATTACTGGACGGTGCTTGATGGCCATGCAGGACGCCATACCGCCTTCTATCTGCAGTGGTGTCTGATTCCCATGGTGTCGTCTGCGCTCTGTGCCCTCCCGCGCAGCGCCTCCAGCCCCGAGATTGAGAATTCAATCAAGAATGCCTTTCTGGCGGCCGACAGGTCCATCATGGATCGCGCAAAGACGGCCGCGAATTGGTATCCGGCCGCGAGCGCAGCCGCTATTGCTGCACTCACGCCAGCTTTCTCCGGCTCGTGTGCCCTCCTAGCTGCCTTTGATGCATCCACATCCACCTTACGCGTCGCATGTACCGGAGATTCTCGCGCTGTCCTCGGCCGCTGGGACCCCTCGACATCATCCTACAAAGCGATCCCGCTGTCCGAAGACCAAACGGGCTTCAACGCAGCAGAAGTAGCGCGCCTGGCACAAGACCACCCAGACGAGCCCTCCATCATCGACCCCAATACGGGGCGCCTCCTCGGCATAGCCGTAACCCGCGCCTTTGGCGACCACCGCTGGAAATGGGACAACAGCCTCATCAAAGCCTGCCAGCACAAATTCTGGGGCTCTGCGCCCCGCCCTGGCTCAAAAACTCCCCCTTACATGACGGCCGAGCCCGAAGTCACCGAAACCCAGATTATCCGCTGTGACCCGGACGATTACTCCTCTCCTTCTTCTACAGCGCAAGCTAAAAGCGACTTCCTCATCATGGCTTCCGACGGCCTCTGGGACCGCATCTCCTCAGACCACGCCGTCAACTGCATCCAGCGGTACCTAGAAGCGCGCGCCCGCGGCAAAGGCAGCGTAGCCTCGGATCCAGAGTTACGCAGGAATCCTCCTGATTTCTCCGCCGTGTCGTCGTCTTCATTTTCCAACCCTTCGTTGGGTGCACCTCCACACTCAAATTCAAACCCAAATTCTGACTCGACAACAACAACAACAACAGCCCTCGAACCAGGCGTCTCATGCGACCCCGCCCAAAACCTCGACGTAGACTGGAAAGCTACACCGGAATTCTTCGCCATCGAAGACGAAAACGCAGCTGTGTGTCTGGCGCGCAACGCCATGGGCGGAACGCGCCGCGCCTTGTTTCTAGGTATCTTGGCGGCGCCTGGGCCGTTGAGTCGGAATGCCGTGGATGATACGACGGTTATGGTTGTGTTTTTTGATCGCTTGGGCGAGGAGAGTAAGAGTAAGGCGGGTGAGGGAGCGGGTATGGAAGGGAGTGGGGAGAGGAAGAAGAAGAGGTGGTGGTGGCCGTTGTGAGGAAGTGGTCGTGGCAAGGGTGTCGGTGGGGACGGTGAGGGAGGGAAAGGAACAAGTCGGTTTGAGATTAGATCGAGACAATGTGTTTTTGGATCAACACGAAAATAAAAATAAAAATGCCGGTGTAGAGGAATTGATTTGTACGTTCTTGTTTTACTCTTTTGTCTTCTTCCCCTTTCTCCTCCTCCTCCTCTTCTTATTCTTCTAGCCCTATGATTCATACGTTAAATCAGTAAAAAAGTGACAAACCCAATATGTATATATATATATATATATATATATGTATATATATACCAGTCCACGTCTATCGAGCCAAGAGATTCTTATTTTATATTCTGTATTCTGTATTCCTCTAACTCTACCCCTTTCCTTTCCTTTCCTTTCCTTTCGTTTTCTTTACACCCCCTTATCCAGTCCACGCCGCGAGCTCCCCTGTCCGTACCAGAAGACTAGAAACGAGATGACAAAACAAGCGATTCAGTATCCTACTGTAAAATCTATAAACTTAGAAACTGATAGTAACGTAGTATACTATAGTATAGTATAGTATAGTATATTAAATACAAGACAAAAAAAGAAAGGAAGAAGATAATGGTGAAGAAGAAGAAGAAGAAGAAGAAGAAGAAAAAAAAAGATCTCTGCACCGCCATCTACACATCATGCCATCCGAATCACTCCATCTCACTCTATATCCTGCCATCTCATCCTCTACTATGTACTGTCTCTCCTCTCACAATTCCCACTTATGTATTTATAGTCGCGATATGAACTAACACAAGACCATGATCCCAGATAAAAAGAGTAAGTAGTCGTGTTATACTGTACCATGTTAGGTTATATCCGTTAATAGAGACGTGATATGTCAACTCCAACTCCAGTCCCCTTCCCCTTCCCCTCTCTTCTCCTCTTCGTTATTCCCCTTCGTGATTCCCTACGCCATGGATCGAACCCGCGCTACAACTCCCGTTACCCCTTCTTCCTTCCTTCCTTCCTTCCTTCCTTCCTTCAGTTAAACACCCGACTTAAGCAAAAAAAAACAAAAAAACAAAGCAAAACTAGAGTTGAAAACAGGTGCTTAAAGAGTATATATGGCAACATCAACATCACTCATTTCAATCCACACACACACATATACACAACTGCATTAGGGCCATTCATTCATTCATATCTTTTTTTCTTCTTCTTCTTCTTCTTCTTTCTTTGAATTTCCGAGTACTATCTTTGAAATCATCATGATGATTGGTAGCCTTAGCCGTAGTAGTAGTAGCCGCAGTAGTAGCAGTAGTAGTAGTAGCTATTAAAAAAACCCTTGTGCTTCGATGCCTCATGCCATGCGAAGTGAAGTTTTTTTCCCCCGTTTCTCACACTCTGCATGCAAGCAGTGGGTAGAAAAAGAAAACAAGAGGAGAGGAGAGTGGGAAGGAGGATGGGGGGGGATGTGATAGTAGTTAGTTACTATTGTAAGAAATCTCTCCGGACATTGACAAAGGCGCCAGGCCCACCGTCGTCTGCTAGTTCCGTGACGAGGGCTTCTGCTTGCTGGACGAGGCGTTCGAGAGCGGCTGAAGAGGATTTGCCTAGGGAGACTGCGAATTCGATTAGTACATGCTTGGTATTTGATAGGCTCCAAACTATGCAGTCATGTCAACATACCTAGTATCGCGCTGTTGAGCTCTTCGGCTACTGGCGCGCGACCAGCAACTTCTAGTAAAGGCGCTAGCATACTCTCTCGAGCATCAGGGTAGGCAATGAGAGCAAACGTATCCTCGAGTGCCTTCTTGACTTCTCGTCTTGGATCATTGGCAAACTCGGCCTTCAGCTCCATGCCGTAGGCAATCGTTTCGTCCGTGGCTCGAGCACTCCTAGCCTCTTTGTCCTGCATATCCTCTTCATCCTCGTCATCCAACTCGTCATCCTGGTCCTTGTTATCCCAACTGGGTGGTGGATTGTGCACACCCAACTGTTCGTCCAGCTCCATTTCAAAGTCGTATTCTTCTGTAGCTGTTGAATTGCGGTTGTTTTGCGCCATTCCAGTTGAGCGTTTAGAAGGCGCAGAAGCTGAGTGGCATTGTGCATTGAGCTCGCCGCACCGTCGTATCATTTCAATGAATTTCCGGCAGCGTAGTTTGAAGTATATGTTCTCATTCTCGCGGAGAACAGAGGGGTAGTATGCAGATGTGTGCTTTAGCGCCTTGTCAATGTCGCCCTCAAGAATGGCTGTGCGGATTTCTGAATAGTTTAGTATTGTGCGTAAAACTCCAAAATAATAACTTACTTTGCCGGTTCAGCGCATCCAGGTCTTCTACAGCTGCCCGGTAAGGGAGGTCTGCGTTTTCGTCGTTGACAAGCGCTTTCGCCTCGTCCAGAATCTCGTCTGAAAATGCTCGTGCAGTCTCGACATAGCCATCGTGAGCTAGGTATTGCCCCACTAGCTGGTGTATTAACGCATCCTCGTCTGCTGCCGCACTAAACTCTGGCTTTGTTCGAGCAATCTCTGCTTGTATGGCCGACTTTTCATCTTGCACCATCTTATCAATGTCAAAAGCAAAAGGCTCCTGGCCAAAGTTTACGCGAACCGTCTCGCCAGGCTTCTTCATCCCAACCGTAGGGTAGTAGGGCATGTTGGGTTTCAGGTCTCTAAAAGCAATTCCTGAAACCGTCAGTGGCGGACCTTGGCGTTTGGGGTGCACAAATTACCCAGCATGTGTCCGTTCTTGGTGAAGAAGGCCGTGTTTGTCCGAAAGTTGATACCGCAGCCGATGACGTCCAGGGTGCCAAACTTTGGCCCGTACGACTTTCCAGAAGTGGTATTGCTGAAGACCTGCCCGTCATCGCCGTGGTAAGCGTACGAGTCGGGCTCCCAGCCCGGTATGCGGCTCAATGCGACCTTTGGACCTGAGAAGCCGATTCCAATCATTCTACTGCGCCGTACATTAGTATGCGTCTCGCCGGACCTCCAATCTACATACCCGTCCTTGCCCTTTGAAATGACTGTGATTTCGTAATAATAAACTCCGCATTGCCTGGGCATGGGGAAATCTGCGCGCACCGCTGCCGCTTCGTCGTGTGTCTTTTGTGTGCCCGAGAACTTTGCCATTCGCCCGTTGTCCTCGAGTTCCAGCTGGCTGAACCGGTCGCCCTCGTTCCATCGTGTTGGCCAGGGTGCCACCGGCTCGTCTACAAGCACAGGCGCGCGCTCAATGATTTCGTGCGTGAGACCGCGGTGTGAAGGCGCCATCTTGTGGAGATTGACGCTGCTCGAGCTCGTCGATAGCGACCCGGCGTTGGACGAGTGTGTCGACTTGAGTTCGCGGTGCGCTGCCAGTTTCGCCCTGTGCGCCTCTTCCAGCTTCTCTGCATGCTTGGATCCCCGCAGGTAGGATGGTACGAAGAAGGGGGGAACATCCTGGGCCGAGCCTCCCATGGCGTTCCAGTATCCAGACTGGCTCGAATAGGAGGGGAGCGGTCCGCCGGTCCTTCCCAGGCTCGTGGACATGTGGCCGTCGGCGTCGATGGAGCGAGAGAGACGGTTGGGGTTTGCTGCCAGGCTGTTGTTGACGAGATGCGAAAAGGCGGAGGATCGAGAGGGTTGGTGGAAGGAGCTGCTGCTGCTACCTGCGGATCCAGCCGCGACCCTAGCCCAGCTCTCCCTGCGAGCATTCATCATGGCGATGGGCGGCGTTGGTTGCAGCCACGGACCTGTGCGCGGCGACGTATGGAAGCGATGGCAAGGAAACTACACGGCGGATTCGCGGGGCGGAGGCGTCGGGCAGGTGTGAGAGGGCGCTGCACAGCTTGGGAGCGAGCGAAGCCAGCCAGGACGCGTAGGAGAGGGCGCCGAGTGGATGAGCAGGTACTCTGTGCTGGCAAGAGCAATCGCCCGACGGTAAAGGCAGAAATCAGCGACACGCGGGCTCGTGTGAAACTCCAATCACAAATGCATTCATGGCTCCATGCGCGAGTACGGGCTGCTACAGGCAAAGGGCGTGGTCGCGAGGGGGCAGTTCAAGTCGAGGGTCAATGGTGGTGGTGCATGGCCGGAGGTTTAGACCCAGCCGAGCTATCGGTGACGATCCCCGCAGTCAACGGCACGATAACGCCATCAACGCGGTCACGCTCACCACCATGTTGCAAGTCATGTACACGCACCAATTTTTCTCCTGGTCGCAACCGTCGTGAGCAGGCACTTTTTAGTTTTTCAGCCATACAGGGTTTATCAGGTTCATGTGGGAAATACAGGGGCACTGGATACAGCACAACAACGTCACCGAGTCACGCAACTGTTCCCAGTCAGGGGAGGGGCTTGTCCAGCACAATAGATAATGTCAATAATCGATAGTATTGAGGTTCCCCACGGTACGTGATGCAAGGCAAAGGCACAATCCCCCACTGCCTCGCGTCTGCGTCTCTATCCAGTACAAATATAATAGTAATTCGGGACCCCTGGTCATGCGCCATGCTTCTTCGCCTTGCTCTGGGCAAGTCGGATATGCCCTTGAAACCAAACGCCTTTTAGACAGGCAGTCAATGCCATCCGTAAACTCCCAACATGGTCGAAGATACAAAGTGAATATAAAAAAAACATGCGGCAAGAATTTGGTCTCCATGCAAAAGGGGCAACATAGGCCGCGTGTGCATCATGTGGTAGACAAAGGGAAAAAAAAAAGAAGAGAGAAATTAATGGTGCTCACGCAGCAATAGGAGCGGGCGAGCTGGCCATGCCGTTCATGGGGGTTTGGACAGAGGTGCTGTCGCCATTGAGGCCGCTCTTGTCGCTGATTGCGCTGCTCTCGTCCTTGAGCTTGGAGTCGCTGGTGCCGGTGGTGTCGCTCTTGACATCATCGGGGAAGGCGGATTTCCGGCCGGGCTGGTAGGTGGGCACTTGCCAGAGCACGCCGGTGAAGCTGCGGACCTGGAACGTCTTCTTCTCCCAGCGGCGACACTTTGCGCCGGAGCGGTCGAGGGCACGCAGGCGCTCGTTGATGGCGCCGAGATTGGCCTTTGGGCCGGCCTTGCTGATGGCTGCGGGGGCGGCAAAGGGCGTCTTGGAGTTGGGGTCGTTGATGATGTCGCCCATCTTCTTCCTCTTGGGGCCGGGCTTGGCCTTTGGCTGCTTGGGGGTGCCGGGGTTGGAGCCCGCCTCCATCTGGGCGGCGGTGCGCTTGGTGCCTAGCTTGGGGCCCTTCCGCTTGGCAGAGGGAGGGGCGAGCGACGACGGGGTGCCGGGGTCGTTCATGTTGGAGGCAGAGTCGGCGGGCGTGTCGGCGGGCTCGGGCTCGACAATGTGCGGCGGCGAGGGCGTTGGGGGCGAGGGGTTTGCGTCGTCGCTGGGGGCGGGCGTGGGCTGGCGGACGAAGCGGGCCAGAGAGTCTGCGGGCAGCTTGAGCGTGACGACGAGAGTCTTTGCAGATTTCGTGGTCATGTTCGCGTGCAAGAGGACGCGAGCTGGAGATGGATGGCGATGGCGGGCCGGTGGGCGGGTGCTGCGGGCGTGGTGGGCGTGGTGGGCAGCGGTGAGGGCGCACACAGGGCGAGGCGGCTCGGCGTGTCAGCGAGCGGTGCGGTGCGGTGCGGTGCTGGTGCAGAGGAGCGTCGTGGTGTGGGCGTCGTGGAGCAGCAGACGGGCGATGGCGGATGCAAAGAGAGGGCAGCACGAGATGATGATGGGAGCGAGGATGGGGGGAGATGGGGAGATGGAGAGATGGAGGGAGCGAGGGCGAGCGAGGGTGTGCGCGGTGAGGGTTGCCGCTCAGGCAGAGAAAGGGCTTCGGCCCAGCTGGGGTGGTCGGCTTGCCAGATCATATTGGGCGGAATCGCTAAAACGTTCTGTCTCTGTCGGCGCTCTAGCAAGAGGTGAGGACACGGCCCCCTTTGGCCCCGACCGGCGGCCAGTCGGCGCTAGGCCCGATGCGACGGCCATGGTATTATGCTGCGACTACTCTACTGCCACTACTACTGCCACTGCCGCTGCCGCTGCCACTGCCACTCGCAGTACTGCTGCGGCTGCACTTGGTCCTGCTGTGCTGGCTGCGCTGCCCGCCGCCGTGCCCGTTGCTGGTGCCGCGTCTGCTGCGCCCTGCCGAGTCTGCGGTGCGGCCGGGCTGGTGGGCGTCGCGTCTTGGGGGGGAGGCCCGTGTGGCCTTGCTCTGTAGCATGGCGAGCTAAATTGCGCGTTCCAGTTCCAGTTCCAGTTCCTGAGCGGCGGGCGGTAGGGGAGCGCGCGAGGCGACGCGAGGCGAGCTTCGAGCATATGCGGCACCAGCACAACCTTTTGCTCCATCCGAGACAGTCGACGGCGCCTTTGCATTTGCATTTGCAGCCCCAGCCCCAGCCCCAGCCTGCCAGCTGCTATGCGTCTGCGTCTGCGTCTGCATCGTGCGTCTGCTGATGCCGTTGATGCTTGGCCGCCGCCGCCTCGCCGCCGCCTCTCTGCCTCTCTGCCTCGCCCGCCACCCTCGAGCTCCCTTTGTCGCCCGCCAGCGTCAGCCTGCCCACCGCGCCGCTGCCTCCTCGGCCCATCCACCCCATTCTGACAACCGCCTTTTTTTCTGCTCCAAGCGTCCACCACAAGGCCCCGCCCGCCCTGCGTCCACGATCCTGGCCTGGTGCCATGGCACCAACGCCTCTGCATCGCCGCTCCACGATGACGTTGGCTGCGGCCATGCCCGGATGCCACAAACCCCTCGGGACTCATGATCCAACCGCCCGCACCAGCGCCCCCACCGTCCAGAGCTCCCTGTTGCCAACCATGTCCATGTCGCCAGTGCCAGCCTTGATCACCCGCCAGCGTCATTGCCACCGCCGCCCTGCTGCCCAGCTCGCCAGCCCTCTCCGCTTCACCACCAAGCACATCATGGAGCGCATGGCTGCAGCCACATGGCCACTTGTACGCACTCACCCACTATGCTGCTTGCCCTTGCCCTTGCACTTGCATGGGCCATGAGGTAGGTACACCATCTTCTCAACACGATCCAACCGCAAAAAAAACAACAACAACAAACACATGTACAGTCCGAGGCACTCTTCCCAACGCATCCACAGCGACAGTGGGTAAAGTCAACACCAACACCACAAAAGCACCAAAACGAACCGGATATACGCTACGCCATTGACGCGCATCCTACTCACTACTGCATGTAGTCCGCTTGATTACAGCCGCATACTTTGGTCTATGAAAAGGGGTTGCTGTACTTGAGCACTCAACCCTCAACCCCGAGCCCCCTATCCGCAAGCGTCCACGCGCTTTCTCTCTTGCTTTCTTCCTTTTGGCACCACCGCCACAGTACGAGCTGCCGCCCTTCTTCTCAACCTGCCCGTCGTCTCTTATTCCCGTTGTGCACTGCATTCCCGTTAGCTCTGCGTGCTTCATCACCGCTGACCGCCACTTCGTCTTCATTCATCCACTCCCGAGCGGCCCCGGGAGTGCGGCGTCGGAACTGACCAGCACCAACTGCCACCACTTCATCTTCACTATCGCTCGCCTCAATGTCCAGGAGAATCGGCATGCTGAACTCGGCATCTCCCGTAGCCGGCCCGAATTCGTTACCCCCGCTCTTGACAGGGTCCACGGTAAGAACATCCACTTCCTCGTCTTCTTGGTTCAGGCGCCGCTTGTGTAGCTCCTCGAGCGGCTGGATGTCAAATTCGTCCTCGCGTTCAATGTACTCGACGTTTTCTTCAACTTCGAGAAAGTCGGGTGCGAGCGCCGACCATCGCTGGGGCTGCAGAATGGACCACAACCACACACGCCCAGAGTCTACCCCGACGGCGGCCACAAACGGCCTGAATGGATGCCACTGCAACAATTAGCATCCTTGACGCAAAGACAATGTCCAAGTAACAAACCTCGACCACGGACAGCTCTTCTTTGGTGCCTTCAAGAATCTTGACCAAACTGCCCTGTCCACGTTCCCACACATAGATGTGATGGTTCATCCACGTTGACGCGGTAACATACTCGCCTGTCGGGCTGAAAGAGACGTGATTCCACGAGAGCCTTTGCACCAAGTCCTGGAACTTGTGCTCGACTTCCAGCTGGAGAGTGTCAAAGTCCAACTTGGGATCGCTCAGGTCGGGCAGATGCAGTGTTCGGACAATGCGGTCGCTCGAATTGAGCACCACATCTCGGCCCGAGGGCGTCAAGCGAATGTATACAATAATGTTGTTGGTAACTCTGAATGAATACCGCATTTCATGCGTCTTGGCATCAATAATGTTGAGCCACCCTTTGTTTGTGCCTGCTATGATGTGGTCGCCCGTCGGTGTGAAGAGCGTCATTGTCGTCGTCTGCTTCGCATCCTGTGCTGTTTGCTTTTCTGTGGCGTTCTCGCGTTCAATGTCGGTTCGGTGCGGCGCCGACGATAGAGAGTGCTTGACAGGGATTTCCCCAGACATGTCCACAATCACGGGCTGGTCTTCGAAGAGCGCAGCGACAAAGAGCATACTAGACGCAGTCAGACATGGCAAACATCACCAAGTCCCAAAGCACGTACTGGTTCTTCGGGTGCAGCTCTGCAATGAAGATGGCCGCCTCGAAGCGGACGGTGCGCACCCGCGACCCATCCTTCAAGTCCCAAAGCACGCACTTCCAGTCCTGGCCCGCGCTGAGAAGGTAGCGGTCGTTGGTCGACCAGCTGAGCGACTGCACTTGACGCGTGTGGCCTCGCAGCTTGCGCGCGACTCCGTTGGTCTCAATGTCGAAGATGACTACAATGCCATCGTGCTACACCCACATCAGCCCAAGCAAATCTGCCCATGTCGAGTGCCCGCATACCCGTCCCGATGCAAGCAGGTCGCCGCGATGGCTAAAGCGTATAGAGGTCGAGTGGCCGCTGCCTGTGCGTCGTGAGCATGTGTATGACGGCGCTGCGGTTTGGTGAATGTATCAGAACTCACGTAGGCGGCCGGTGATGACATCGGGACAGTCCTGCGCGAGGACAAAGGGATCAACCAGCGACAGATTCATGGTGGCGCACTGCAGACGGCGTGGTGTACAGGGCAGCGTGCTCACTTCGCAGCATCTTCACCAGCGCAGAAAGCTCGTGTTCATGGCCGCAGCGTCAAAGGCGCGTCGCGACTGGAAGGCTGCCCTGGCTGCACTCCAGAACTCGAGTGGGTATGAGGGCTCCGCTTCGGCACTAGTGCCGGATGCGCCAAGACCCTTTGTCGCCTTCTGGCTTTGACCATGGCCTCGCTCAACCAGCACGCCTCCCTCACCACCACCCACCCCCGCCATCACAACTGGCCGTTCTGCATTCCCAGAGCGCGTCTTCCACCTCGCCGACCCCCATAGTGCTCTCCGGAGCGCTTTTAATACGCGCGCACGCCTCCCGTCTCGAGGCGCGACCCGGCGAGCCCGCGACCCCCGTGCAGCCCTTTTCCGCGGGCGCCCTTCTTCGACCAGGCAGCTATTCGCGCGCAGCGCGCATCTAATACATCCGGGCGGTGATACGACACGACACGGCTACCACGGCAGACCCCTTGACTTAGTTAATACGCGGAGGAAGCGCCCGCCGTGGCCACCGCGAGCGCCGACCCATCCAGCGGTCTGTAGCGATCCTCTTACCCTCACCACCTCCTCGACACCGCCAACATGCCGCCCGGCGCACCTGTCCAGTCAAAATGTCCGCTCCGGACGATCAAGGAGATCCAGTTCGGCCTGCTCTCGCCCGAGGAGATTAAGGCCATGAGCGTCGTCCACATCATCTACCCGGAGACCATGGACGAGCAGAAGCAGAAACCGCGCGAGCAGGGTCTCAACGACCCCAAGCTCGGCACGATTGACCGCATGTACTCGTGCGCGACGTGCAAGGAGGACATTCAGGTCTGCCCTGGTCACTTTGGCCACATCGAGCTACACACGCCCGTCTTCCACGTCGGATTCGTTGTCAAGATCAAGAAGCTGCTCGAGACCATATGCCACACTTGTGGCATGATCAAGGCTGACTTCGTAAGTCTTCCTACGCGAAGACAGAGACTTCAGGCGCTTGGACGATTTTTGCTAACAGCAACACCAGAACCACCCCGATTGGCATGCGGCCGCCAAGACCAAGGACGCGAAGAAGCGTTTCGACAAGATCTGGCGCATGTCGCGGACCAAGAATGTGTGCGTTCAGGATGTTGAAGAAAGCGGCAAGGAAAACAAGATTCCCAAGATTCCTCACGGCGGCTGTGGCAGCAGGCAGCCCGACACGATCCGCAAGGAGGGTCTCAAGCTCACGGGAACCTGGAAGCAGAGCAAAAAGGACGATGACGATGGCCAAGGCGACCGCAAAGAGGTCATTACGCCCAAGCAGGCGCAGACGATTTTCAAGCTCATGTCCGACAACACGCTTGCTCTGCTTGGTCTGAACGCCGACTACGCCCGTCCTGAATGGATGATTCTAGATGTGCTCCCTGTACCACCTCCACCGGTAAGGCCAAGTATTTCCGTCGACGGTACAGGTCAAGGCATGCGTGGAGAGGATGACTTGACATACAAACTGGGAGACATTATCCGCGCCAACGGACGCGTAGCTGAGTGCCAGCAAGAGGGTTCGCCTCAGCACGTCACGGCCGAGTTTGAAGCTCTCGTGCAGTACCATGTTGCGACCTACATGGACAATGATGCCAACGGTGTTCCACAAGCCATGCAAAAGTCTGGTCGTCCGCTCAAGACGATTCGTGGTCGATTAAAGGGCAAGGAGGGTCGTCTTCGTGGTAACTTGATGGGCAAGCGTGTCGACTTTTCTGCACGTACAGTCATCACTGGTGACCCCAACCTGTCTTTGGACCAAGTCGGTGTGCCCCGTTCCATTGCGCGGACGCTCACCTACCCCGAAGTTGTCACAAAATTCAACATCAGCAAGCTGACAAACCTGGTCCGCAACGGTCCCAACCAGCATCCTGGTGCCAACTATGTCATCAAAGCAGACGGTGTCCGTCTTGACCTCAAGCACAACAAGAACCTCGACGATCTGCGGTTGCAGTACGGATGGAAGGTTGAGCGACACATTGACGATGACGATGTCATCATCTTCAACCGTCAGCCCTCGCTTCACAAGGAGTCCATGATGGGTCACCGCGTCAAGGTCATGCCCTACTCCACCTTCCGTCTCAACTTGTCCGTCACATCCCCCTACAACGCCGATTTCGACGGTGACGAGATGAATCTGCACGTTCCTCAGAGCGATGAGACCCGCGCTGAAATCCAGAACCTGTGCATGGTGCCCAAGCAGATTGTGTCGCCCCAAAAGAATCAGCCTTTGATGGGTATCGTGCAAGACACACTTCTTGGTATCTACAAGATGAGTCGTCGTGACAACTTCATCCCCATCGAGCAAGTCATGCCCATCATGATGTGGGTTCCTGACTGGGACGGCATTGTCCCCGAGCCGGCCATTCTCAAGCCTCGACCTCTCTGGACTGGTAAGCAGATCATCAGCATGGCTTTCCCCAGAGAAGTCAACATTGAGAAGAAGGAGGGCGATTCTACACCGAGCAAGGACAACGATATCAAGGACAAGAGTCTGATGATCAAGGGCGGCCAGCTCCTCTACGGCCAAGTCACCAAGAAGATTGTCGGTGCTTCGGCTGGTGGTGTTATTCACATCATCTTCAACGAGCTCGGCCCCGACGCGGCTGTCAAGTTCTTCAACGCCTGTCAGCGAATTTGCAACTGGTGGCTTCTGCACTATGGCTTCAGTTTCGGTGTGGGTGACACCATCCCGGATCCTAAAACCTCCGAAAAAATTGCGTCCGAGATTGCCAAGTCTAAAGTCAAGGTCGAGGAAATCATTGCAACTGCCACAAAGGATCAGCTTGAGCCTCTGCCTGGTATGACAATCCGTGGTACTTTCGAATCCAAGGTGCAGAAATTCCTGAACGAAGGTCGAGAGGGTGGTGGTACTGCTGCCCAGAACAGTTTGAAGGATTTCAACAACGTCGTCCAGACTGTCGTTTCCGGTTCCAAGGGTTCCACTGTCAACATTTCTCAGATGGTTGCCCTTGTCGGACAACAGGCTGTGGAGGGACAGCGTATTCCCTTCGGCTTCAAGTACAGGTCGCTGCCACATTTCTCAAAGGACGACTACTCACCCGAGTCTCGTGGTTTCGTCGAGAACTCATACCTGCGCGGTCTTACACCCTCCGAGTTCTTCTTCCACGCCATGGCTGGTCGTGAGGGTTTGATTGACACAGCAGTCAAGACAGCCGAGACTGGTTACATCCAACGTCGTTTGGTCAAGGCGCTTGAAGACGTAATGGTCAAGTACGACGGAACCGTCCGCAACTCGATGGGTGACATTGTTGAGTTCGTCTACGGTGAAGATGGTCTTGACGGCGCCCACATTGAGAACCAGTCCATGGACATTATCATGTCCTCTGAGCCCGACTTTGAGGCAGGCTACAAGCTGGACGTCCTGACCACTGACCAACCAGAGATTCCAGTCTGGAAGCTTGAGAACTCTCCCTTGTTGCAGGGCGACGTTGAGGTGCAGCGTGCTCTTGACGAAGAGTTTGAGGCAATCAAGAGCGACCGTGAATACCTCCGTGCGAATGCCAGCGAAGACGATCTTGAATCGTTCCAGCTGCCGCTCAACATTGCGCGCATGATTCGGTCTGCCCAGGCGAGATTCGGCATCAACCCAGAAAAGGCTGCTAGCAACCTCCATCCCGTGGAAACCATCAAACAGGTCCACGAGACTCTTGACCGTCTAGTTGTCATTCGTGGAGACGACGAACTGTCTAGGGAAGCTCAGGACAGTGCCACATACCTCTTCAAGGCTCATCTCCGCGCACGTCTTGCTTTCAAGAAGCTTGCCGTGGAGCATCGCCTCAGCAAAGAGGCTCTGAGCTACGTCTTGGGAGAATTGGAGGACCGCTTCCTCAAGGCCGCCGTCGCTCCTGGTGAGATGGTTGGTGTCCTTGCAGCCCAGTCCATTGGTGAGCCCGCCACACAGATGACGCTCAACACCTTCCATTTTGCTGGTGTGTCCTCCAAGAACGTTACGCTCGGTGTGCCGCGTCTTAAGGAAATCTTGAACATTGCCGCAAACATCAAGACCCCGTCTATGCTTGTCCGCCAGGCGGATGCCAAAGGCAGTCAGCAGCAGGCCAAGCAATTGCGAAGCACCATTGAACTTACAACCCTGCGCTCGCTTACCCAGGCTGTCGAGCTCTACTACGACCCAGACATTCAATCCACACTTGTCGAGGAAGATCAGGACATGGTTGAGTCGTACTTTATCCTACCTGAAGAAGACGAGGTCATCGAGTCGCAGTCCAAGTGGTTGCTTCGTATCATCCTCGACCGCAAGAAGCTGCTGGACAAGAGCATCACCATCGGAGAAGTTGCTGGCAAGATCAAGGAAGAGTTCAAGCCAAACCTGGCAGTCATCTTCAGTGACGAGAACGCCGACGAGCAGGTTATGCGTGTCCGCTTCATCTGGGATCAAAACCTGCAAAAGGACGACGAGGATGAGGACGAGCGAGACGAGCGATGGATGCGCAAGCTGGAGAAGCATCTTCTTGACGACGTCACCCTTCGTGGTGTTCGTGGTGTTGAGCGTGCTTTCATTCGAGAGCACATTGTCACTGTCGAGAGGGAAGACAGGGCCCTATTGCACTCCAAGAGCAACGATCTGTGCAAGGAATGGGTTCTCGACACTACCGGTACTGCCCTGGCTGAAGTCCTCGCCATTGAAGGTGTGGATGCCACCAAGACATACTCCAACTCGTTCATTGAAATTCTTGGTGTGCTCGGTATCGAGGCAGCTCGAGCTGGTCTTCTCAAGGAACTGGGCATGGTTTTGTCCTTTGACGGTTCGTACGTCAACCACCGTCACATGGCATTGCTTGTCGACATCATGTGCCAACGCGGTCTTCTCATGGCCATCACACGTCACGGTATCAACCGCAACGACACTGGTGCTCTGATGCGTTGTTCGTTCGAAGAGACTGTTGAAATTCTACTCGAAGCTGCTGGCTTCGGTGAGCTCGACGATTGTCGTGGTGTGTCTGAAAACATCATGCTTGGTCAGCTTGCACCTATGGGTACTGGAGAATTCGATGTCGTCATGGATAACGCTATGCTTCTCACCATGGTTGAGGACAACTCCAAGGTCATGGGCGGTGCTGCTGGCGCCGGCAACTACATGCCCGGTGGTGGAGAGACGCCGTACGATTTGGGCTCACCCATGTTCGAGGGTACTATTGGCATGGGCTCCTTTGATCAGGTCTCCTTTTCGCCCATTGCGGCCGCTGGAGGTGGCGATGATCAGGGCGCCTTCACAGCCTACGCAGGTAGCTACGGCAGTGGTGGTTTCAGCCCATTCGACGGAGGCAGAAGCCCAGGAGGCTCAGGCTTCAGTGGCATGTCTCCAGGTTTCACCAGCCCGGTGTCACCAGGCTTCTCTCCCACCTCGCCTGGCTACTCGCCCACGTCTCCCGGAATTGCCAGCCCTCGCTTTGCTGCTACATCCCCAGGATACATGGCATCTCCTACATCGCCCCACTACTCCCCGACGTCTCCACGATATGGTTCTCCTACATCGCCGTCGTACTCGCCCACGTCTCCAGCTGGTTACTCGCCCACGTCACCTCAGTACTCACCAACATCACCCAATTACAGTCCGACGTCTCCCACGTTCATGGGTGGTGCTACGTCACCCGCGTACAGCCCGACTTCGCCACAATACAGCCCTACATCGCCACAGTACAGCCCCACGAGTCCGCAATACCAGGCGGGAAGCGACCGCCGCTCACCTACCTCTCCTACGTCACCCCAGTACAGCCCCACATCCCCTCGATACTCGCCCACTAGCCCAGCGGGAGCATTCTCCCCAACCTCTCCAAGATACAGCCCGACTTCTCCGGGCCCGGCATACTCTCCCACGTAAGCTCCCCCGGTCATAGTTGTAGACAACCTCCTTTGCTGTAGCATACACTGACTTTGAACTAGATCTCCAAAGCAATAGGCGGCTTGTTGATGTAAGGTGTCTCATCTCTTCTCTGTTCTATATGAAAATACATTCTCTTCTGTGGATGATTTGGGCAAACTCTTTGCTGAAGCTGAGCAAGGTTACTTTTGTGTCTGCCGGGCTCTCTTTGTCAAAGGTTTGACCTAACCTCTACCAACCCCATCACGGCTGGTCTCGTACGGCAGGTCGTATCTGCAAGCGGTCGTTCCTTTAACTAGGCCCACGTCCCTTTCCAACACGTCCTGTCCGGCAACTGATGGGTTTCGCTCACACACACACGTCCGATTACAAGCCCCCTTTTTACTCGCAAAACCCCAACCTCTGTACAACAACGACTATTTACCCCCTCAAGCTGCAACTCGTGAGCGGCACCAAAAATCTGCTTATCGACTGCGCGCTCTCTTTCCCCCCTACGAGATTGGAACCTTTTTTTGTTCTTTTGCATACAATACCCTTAAGCCTTTGAGGGTACATAACCGGCGTTAATTTTACTCTATTCTGACATGGGGGTCCTTCACACGCACACACACACACATCATATCCAATTGCAAAAAAAATGCAATGGCGTTTTATATTCCTGGGGTCTTTGACTTTTTTTTCTTTTTGAACATGCTTTATTTTTTTGGCTTTTCTGCATTCATGGTCTATCATATACAGACGCACCAGAGACAAAGAAAGAAAGACGGGGAATTTTTTTTATTTTCTTTCTCTATTACGTGTTCTTTTTTTGCAGAAGAAAAAAATGATTTCACTTTATCTCTTTTTTTTTGGCTGGGGGGACTGTTTAGTCTCTTTTATTCTGTTTGATGCGGGATATGTTTCATCGTTAGATCGTTGCTTCCTTTTTTCTTTTTCTGACCTCTCTATCTCCCCACGTTTTCTTTTTTAGCCCGCCAAATTGCGCGATGGGGCCTTTTTTCTCTCTGACTCTCTGTTTATGTGGCTTTTTTTGGCTCGGATTCGGTGGAGGAAGGGGTTGGTCAGTGTGATGGATGAGTGCGAGAGAGACAGACAGATACGAAAGTTGAAGTGTGTACGCGCGATGATGGGACAAATGCAAGTGTTAGAGACTGGGGGAGTAGTGCTGATGTGGGAGGGGAAAGGGGGAGAGAGAGCGGCTGCATTACGAGCAGCGCACTTCTTTCTCTAAGGGGGGGGGTTTTCTTTTCGGAGTGTTTTTACAAAGTACGTACACGTCAAAGTAAGAGTGGGGGGGGAAGTAGGGAAGGCTTTATGCGGCGTCTCTCTCTTTCTCTCTCTCTCTCTGTCTCATGTATGCGACACGAAATATAATAAGAAATTATGGAGACAAAAAAAATTATCCTTCGGTCTTGTTGTGGTTTCCAAGTGCTATCTGTGGGTGGGTGATGTTTTTAGTTTTCGCTTTCTTGAATTTTTTTTTGTCTTTTTTTTTTCTTTCTTACTAGGGTTTTGGGAGAGGAGAGGAAGGCGGACTGGGGTGGGCGTGGAGTAGAATTATACATAATTTTGTGTGTGTGTGTGTGTGTGTGTGATGCTGAGAGTAAGTAAGTCAGTAAACTTATAAAAGCAAAGAATTAATAAAAATACAACATTGAACAAAGAATACTACGTAGATAAACGTCCCAGCTAAAAAAAAAAATCTACATGTAAGTGCTCATCGCCTCGGAATCCGCGTAGTTGGTCGCATAAGAAATAGCTTCTTGATTTGATTTCATATGCATGGTAAGTAGATATTGTACATGGTGGTATCTGTCCCCCTCCTTTTTCGCACTTGTTTCCTTTCTTCCGCCTTTTTCTCATTGACGCGCATGATATCCATGGAAGAAAGCTTACGCCTCGATACTCGCGAGTAGATCTAACATGTACTTTTGGCGTCGTACACGGCCTGATGCTGATGCGGTGCTTTGCTGCTGGTGCTGTGACTGTGGCTGTGGCTGTGCTGTATCACTCGTCTTGCTTCCCTTGCTGGGCGGAGGGTCTGGTGTATCACTCGCTTTGCTTGCTTTATTCGGTAGCGCTGCAGTATTGGCATTACTATTGGTATTGGTATTGGTTCCATGCGGCGATGAGCTGGAATCCCGTCTCGGACCCAGTCGTGAACCTTGTCTTGGACTTGGACGTGGTGATGTCGATACTAATGCATGTGAAAGAGTAGAACGCGTGGGGACAGGCGATGCCGGGTGCAGGATTATATGCGGGATGAGTGGTTTGCGGTGTGCAGGGTGTGAGGGGAGCTCGTGGCGGGCGGTGGTGGTTGTGGTATCTTCTAATTCCGAAATGTGTGTCATTGCAGTGGCAGTAGTAGTTTTGGTGTTGGCGGTCGTCGTGGTCGTAGTAGTCGTGTCTTCTAATTCCGAAATAAGAGTGCTGTGACGTGCTCGCGTTGTGCGTCGTGGGAGTGCCGCGTAGTGCGTTGAAATGTCACTGCACGATGCACGCTGTTTTATGTCTCTTCGTGTGAAAGCCAGATTCAAGGTGTGGTTTGAGCTCGGCATGTTGGTAGTGTCGGCTGCTAGTTCTGCAGGTATGTTCATGTCTCCTGCGAGTTCTGGAATTCTTTTTTCATCTGCGCGCCGAGATGCAGCGGGTTTGGCGGGTGGTGATGTGGAATGCAGTGCAAAGGGATTCACGGGGCCCGCGGCGTTGGTCCCGCTCATCGCGTATACCGCGTCGCCCTCTAGCTCTGCGATTGTGGTGTGGCGAGAGGAGTAGGGCAATGCGGGTTTGCTGGGTATGGTGCGTGGGGCTATGGTTTTCGGGTCGCTGAGACTTCGTTTGATATCGGCCTTGTAGTCGGTGTATTTCCTGAGGTCTTGGTGGGAGCGTTGTGTGTGAAGATTGGAGTAGCTTGGGGGCGGACTGCTGGGCATCATGGGTACTAAGGGGTATGGTAGAATGCTTGTGGATTGACGGGACGGCTGGATGCTGGAGTCTTTGTGTTGGTATGAATTCAATGGGCTTGTGCAGCCGATTTCCAGGGCTTTGGAGGGTATTTCTTGTGTTTTAGCGATGTTGTAAGTGATTGCTTCGGTACTTGCTGCTTTCTTCCAATGTTAGCATCGAGTGACGGAAGGTGACTGTCCAATGTTGCGGCTGGGGCTCATACCAGCCCACTTGATGTCCTTTTGAGGAACCATCTTATGGTCATCATATCCGATACTGTTTCGGTATGCTGGCGGCTCTCTTTGTGTCGACAGGTCGTCGAGGCGATTAAGAAAACTCAACACGTTGGACAGCTGTCGATGGCAAGCCGTCAGTTCTGTTTTACGGTTTGCTATTCGTTCACTGTCTGCAAGAATGTATCGGAGCTGGTGTGAGTGATGCAGCGCTTTAGTATGTCGCTGGTTTGACATGTGTTCCACCCAGGTACCAATCTCATCCAGAGCAGAGGTTGTGCTGTCAACGGCAGTTCTGATCCAAGGATGTCTCTCAGGCAAATAGGCGAGTGTTGCCTGCACCGAGTTGATACCCAGTAGCCGCTCAACCATTTCAAGGTCATTGCGAACGATTTGTATTGTGCGAAGAAAGACTTCGCTCTCACTGCCAGCATCTGCACTGTGTATCGCAACGTCGGCGAATCTGAATGCGCGGCTGATGCTATCTGATCGCACAGGCATACCTGCGGCGAAGGTCAGCCGAGTGGGAGTGTGAAGTATAATTCTCTCTGCATACTCACCATATACTTTGCGCATAGTGAGCACTCCTGTACCAGCATAAGCCGGTGAGATTGCAACTGCTCAGGCTGATGACGCTGAGTGAGTGAGGAGTCAACGAACCAGGCTTTCAAGGGGGTAGCCCCAAGACCCCGAAATTCCCTCAGTGGGTAGGAAACAGCCGCACGGCTGAGTTGGCCTCATTCATTAGCCCATACTTGCTGTGTGGCGTTGTTAGCAGAGATGTCAACAATCAAGCCAAGCCAAGCTCCAGCTTGGCTTGCCTCAGCTTGATAGGCAAAAGCAAAACTGTCAGCTTGGCTTGGCTTGACTCAGCTTGGCTTGGTGTATCAAGCCAGCTTGATTGATGAGCTTGATGAGCTTGATGGTCATAGCGTCTTTTTCAAAGCTAGTTAAGTAGATAATATTAG